GTCGAATTTGTATCTCTGCACGATCTCGCTTGGTTTGGGATTGAAGTGGTCTTTCATGATAGTCACTATTTGGTTATATGTTTTCGTGCTGGGCTTATCTGGACTCACCAGGTTCCTTATGAGCTTGTATGTGGCTGGTCCCACCACACTAATGAGGATAGCTCGTTGCTTATCTCCATCATCAATATCATTAGCAACGAAGAACTGATCCAGAATCTCGCAGTACTCTTCCCAAGTCTGCTCCTTCGAGTCAAATGCTGACAGATTTCCTACCGTCATATTCATCTTCGTTTTATGTGTGCTCTTGTCCTGCGTCCGCCCGGGTTTTTTTTTTTGCACCGCTTCGTCTTCAGTCCACCACTCTTTTCAATCCTCCGTCAGCTTTCCAGGATTATCCTCGTCGCCAATATGTGATAACGTGACTAATTATGAAAAATCCACGTCCAGCCGAAGCATGTCCTTTTTTTAGGTGTCTTTATTGCACACTCTCACAGAACCAACAACCAACTTCTTTCTGCCTCTCTATGCATATCTTAGCTCGCCCATAACTAACATGGGAATACAATCCCTCTTGTGGCGTGGGGGTAGTACTGCATATTATAACTAACTCAGGATACTACATCATAAAGAGCGGTAATAAGATTACGTCTATGTTTTTTTTTGTGAGGCTCAAAGAAGATCACTGTTTTACTATATCTGTTTTCTGTCCACCTAAAGTTTGTTGAAGGTTTTTTTTTTGAAGGAAAGATAAGCTGTAATGTCTGCCTCTTGTTTTGTTCTTGTGAGGCTTAAATAGGATCAGTATTTTATCAATTTTCTGTCCTCCTGAACTCCAATAATGGGTAAAATTTTCTGTTTTTAAATGTTTCATTGAATCCTTTTAGAGTAATTTATGTCCAGTCTGCTCTGCCTGCTTTATGCTCGATGTGTTACTCCAAACTGACTCCCTGTGGGATGAACAGTTTTTATTTTGTATTTTCCTCCAAAGCGGATGTGTTTTATTTTGTAACGGCGCCTCTCTTCCTGTCAGACCCATGAAATTGCTGCTGAATTGCTGCGTAGTCCGACTAAAATAGACCTGGTCTCAGGAAGTAATTTTAATCAGGGTCAAAATTCCTATCAGCCAATATGCTTATTTAAAATACAATAAATAAAAATAAATAAATAGATTGAGATTCACTACTTTATTGTCATAGACACTTCAGTGTCTCTAGGTAGGACTTTTTTTCTGACTGCTTTCAGACACTAAATCTGATCAGTCTCTTCCACGTAATGCAGCCACTGCAAACCCAGCAAACTGAGCTACAGAACCTGAAAATGTTTCATTACCTCAACACTGTGCAGGAAATCTGAAACAGGAGGATTTGGGCTGGAAGGGATTGTCTAATCCAATCACGCTAGGTCGGGTTGCGGGTGCTAAGGCTGAGCTCGCCAGTATAACTGCCATCAGAGGCGGGAGAACAGTCTCCTCTCCGGCTGCTCTCCGTTGCACTGATTGTGGTTCCAGTTGTTCTTCATTGGTGGTTTTCCCAAATAAATCCAAGATGTGTTTCTGTGCCATGTCTCCTCCTCGTTTCTGTCGTTAGACTTCCTAGATTTCATGGGCGTAGGTTTGCATAGGGACTATAGGGAGATGTCACTACCAAAATTTTGGACAGACCCATTTGTCCCTACCAATAATCGGATGTGAACAACATGTTTATAATTTACTATACAGCAGCCGCTTCTTTTCCTCTTGCAGCTTCTCTACCTGGTAGCTGCAGTTGCCTGCTCTTTCCTGTCCCTTTCACATAGCAGCGCATCAACTGTGCTGCGCGGTTTAACTCTCTGATTATTCTGCCTTAAGTTCCGCCTTCTCTCTTTCTGATTGCGTGTTTTCTAGTCTGTATGTGCGCGCGCGCGGGTGCTTGGAGGGCGAAAAAAAAGACGCTAAAATAAATTAATATTGGGCTACGAAACTAGTCCAAATTAAAAAAATATTATCTACGCTAAAACAGGCGAACGCTTCTGATTGGAGTTCTGTAAAGAAGCAGGAAAGAGTTTTTTGATTTGTGGAACTTGAGGAATGTAAGTTAACAACGTTAGGATTTATTTTATTTTATCTTTTAATCAGATAGCCAAAGGCTCCTTAAAGGAATAGTACACCCAAAACATGATTAGCCTTCATTTTCTACTCACCCCCATGCTGAACAACACTCTGGAGTACTTTTTTGATATCTCAAATGCATCTGGAGATCTGGGAGGCTTCTTGCTGTCTGCTGACATTCAAATAATGGAGGTCTATGGCGCCCGAGGCAGAAAGGTCCATAAAAGTCCACAAAAACCTGTCAATATTCCTCCATACTGCTCGTCCAATGTAATCCAAGTGTCCTGAGTGGGTAGCGTCCAGAATTTACTCGAAACGAAGTCATTTAGAACGTTTTAGAGCATAAACAGTAGTGTATAGGATTTCCTAATAGCGCCCCCATGCGCGCTCACGATTCTACGGAAGCCGGCAGACCAAACCAGATGAAAGTGCGCATTCAGCGTCTGCTCTGCCGATAATGCAACCGTAGAAGAAGAAATGTGCTGTTTACCTGTGCAAAGAAAGAAACAACGAAAGAAAAATGTCTGAGGACTTCAGTGTTGAGGAAGAGCATGAGTTCTTTGCCGAGCTGAATGCACTGGTTTGGTCTGCCGGCTTCCGTAGAATCGTGAGCGCGCATGGGGGCGCTATTAGGAAATCCTATACACTACTGTTTATGCTCTAAAACGTTCTAAATGACTTCGTTTCGAGTAAATTCTGGACGCTACCCACTCAGGACACTTGGATTACATTGGACGAGCAGTATGGAGGAATATTGACAGGTTTTTGTGGACTTTTATGGACCTTTCTGTCTCGGGCGCCATAGACCTCCATTATTTGAATGTCAGCAGACAGCAAGAAGCCTCCCAGATCTCCAGATGCATTTGAGATATCAAAAAAGTACTCCAGAGTGTTGTTCAGCATGGGGGGTGAGTAGAAAATGAAGGATAATCATGTTTTGGGTGTACTATTCCTTTAAAGAAGATCTTTTATGAAATGAAACCAGGTGAAACAGAAACGTTTAAACGTTTCCTTTGGAGGAGTTTTGGATGGAGAATATTGACAGACATAAACTATTTTTTGTCTTAAATGCAAAATGTTTACATATTTTTTACAATCTTGGTATAATTCCTGCTCTAAGTGGGTCGCTCTGTCGGCTAAAGGCACATTTTAGTGGCCCTATACTCCAGTTAACGATTAATCAATTACTAAATTAGTTCACGATTATTTAAATAATTTGTTAATATGATTAATTGTTTCAGCCATAGATAAAATACATGAAATTAGCTACACAGAGTAACTACAGCCCAGATGTACAACTTCTAATATTAATACTTTAAATGCTCAGTGTCAGTTCCTCTTATAGTTCCAGTGCACATGTAAATACAATACATTTATTTGCTGTCCCTTGAATCTATTATTTTGCATGATCCAGAGAGAGCATATTAGATAAAAAAAATAAGAGTGGGTTTTTTACCTCTGCGCAATTCTCTATCTTCAGAAGAAAACACAGGATAAATCCACATATAATAGACTATATTTGGTTAAACAGACACTGTCTTAGTCGCAGGTAAATTTAAATGCAATCCTTTTCAAAGTGGAAAAAGTCCTTCTTCCACATTCATCAGAGCCAGTTATGCTTTAAATATTGATAAACAGCATCTAGTGCATGTAGTGCTTATACGATTTGTATTAATGTAGCAGAAATGCTGCTCTTCTCTTTAAACAAAATGAGCCCTGAAGCTCACATTAAGCATAAAAAAAGAGCATGCATATTTTTTGCAAAGGACCAATGAAACTGAAGAATAGTGTCCCTACCAAAGTTGAAATCAAACCTACGCCCTTGCTAGATTTACTATCCAGCTGACGCAAGCCGGATATCTCTGTCCTCGGCGATCACTAGCCTGCTAGACTTTCACCCCCACTTCCAAAATCGTGTCAGGTGTCATCATCCCAACTGACTGTTTGTTAATGAGTGCTAAACACCACAAACAAATCCAACATGATTTTCTATCGGATTAGACGCAAAATCAGATTTGGTATGTTCTGGGCTTTACACTACAGCAGGGGTGGGCAGTTCCAGTTCCTGGGGGCCGGAATCCTGCGACATTTAGATCCATCCTTGCTCCAACACTCCTGAATTAAATGGCTCGGTTACCTCCTTAGTATGCAGTCACTTCCTCCAGGGTTCTCTCAATCATCTAATTGTTTGATTCAGGTGTGCTGAACCAAAGAAACATCTAAAAAGTTGCAGGAAAGCGGCCCTCAGGAACTGGAGTTTTAAAAACATTAGCTTTAAAAAAAAAACATGGCAGGTCCGTTTGACGAGGATCTTATTAAAGAATTATCAGGATTTTTTCACAGAGAATTAAATATTTATAGGTATAAGATTCTACAACTCAGCTGACAGGACATGAAGTTTTTTTTTAGTTTGTTTAATATGACTGAAATGCAGATTTGTATTTTTATTTATTTATTTTTAAAGTACATGAAAAACTTATTTAAAATAATTTTCAGATTACACATAAATAGATTCATTAATTCTAAGGGGGGAAAATGAATTAGTTTAAGATTAGGATTCACTGGGTGATAACAGCCTACTGAGCCTACTGGTAAAATCTAAAGCCATTCACTGATAACCGCTACTAACCATCATCCACGCATGCGTATTACGAAGGGTAAGCTGGGCCGACAGAACACCTGCAGCACAATAAGAAATAAACCTTCACAATAAGCATCAAACAGCCCGGAGCGTGTTCTGAGGTCAGCGGTGGGTTCTGACCCCCGCAGGCCGAGGTTACTTCTGTCTCCTCTTGGTGGTCATGATGAAGGCGTTTATGTGAGGAATATGAAGACTTCCCATCACTACTGGGCAGCATGGGCCTCCACCTGAACAGAACACAGCAAATAATACTGAGACTCTTCTGCAACTTACCGGCGAGAGCGCGACGTAGAGCTGCGACTGGCTGGAGCGGGGGCAGACATGGAGCCGGACCCGCCCTGGAACTGGACCTGGAGATTTTCTCTGGCTCCTGTTTCCAGCTCAGCTCCAAGAGCCTGGAGGCTGAAAGGAAACGCAGAGGAGAGGTGAGGCAGCTAACGCTAAAAACGGATTTATGCTCAGAAACCAGCTCGTCTGCATGAGTGTCACAGTTAACACAGATATGCCCACCCCCCCCTTCTGCAGACCCCCCAGATATTGGAGGTGATCGCAGACAGTGCCGCAGGGAGGAGGGAAAGGAGGCCTCTGATTGGTCAATTCTACATCCGCCCTACACTATGCATGTTTCCTGTTTGGTGTCTGTTGGTTTGAACCCGAAGCCAAAACACGCAGCTCTACGGCCGGCCTTTGGCGAACACTCACCTGTGAACTGTGTGCCGTCTGGATGAGGGGTTGTAGACGGCGAACAAGCTCGTCAAACCGACACACGGACACCCTCAATCCTAGCTAGTTGGTGACTGTCCCTCTGGTGTTGTGCAGATCTATGTCATACCTGCGACACGCTAACTGCGACGCACTGCTGCGGGAGAATAAACAGCTCTTAAGAAACAAGAAAGGTCCTCAGCTGCTGCACCACAGCTCCTGTGTTCAGCTCAGAGCTCTTCAACCGCCGGCTGGGGCTGCAGACTCAGACTGGGTCACCATCTAATAAACATCACAGTCAATCAACCAATGATCTCTCAGCCTAACGGGCAAAATACCCAATCAGCAGTTGACCTTTTTATCTGTAGCTCAGAGCCGCTTTGGTTCTTCATTTCAAGCAAATGTTACTTTGGAAATAATAAAATAGCAGCTGAATGCAACAGTTATGCTAACAAGACTCCAGAATCCTTCAGGTTCAGTTGCAATATGGTGCAAATATGTCGTATTTTTCTACCACAGAAATATCCTGCCAGCGTCTGAGAGCAGCTCAGAGAGGAAGCTGCTTTCTCGCATCAATAATGTATCACTACTTGGTTGGTAGTTGAGAGGCGGGCCTCTCTATGTGAGATATTTCCTGCTGTGCTGCCTGACAACCATGATTCACTCATAAAATCTTACTCATTATATTTTAATCACCTGCCGAGGATATACTTAATTTAAGTCCAGTTTATCTCCACAATAAGGCTTTACAATTTAATAACATGGATCTATTTCAAATCTTTCCACATTGGTTTAGATTTTACTTTTAATTCAGTTCTATTCAGTTTATTTCTATAGCTCCAATTCCCATCATGTCATCTCAGGTCACTTTCCAGTTCAACCAGATCATCCAGTCAGATTGATTCAAAGTTTTCTATCTAAGGAAAACCAGCTGATTGCATCGACTCATTGACTCTTCAGCAATCCCTCACACTAAGCATGCTTGTAGCGACAGTGGAGAGGAAAAACTCCCTTTGAACAGGAAGAAACCTCCAGCAGAACCAGGCTCAGTGTGAGCGGCCATCTGCTGAGGCCCACTGGGGTTCAAGGAGACAGAAGCAGACATAGAAAAAGAAGCATAGATACAAAAGGCAACTGTCAACCAGCTCCACAGGCGGCCCCGTCCAGGAAACACACAGCCAGGCAGACGAGCTCCGAGCCAGCTCCCATGTCAGAGGATGAAGAGAGCACATCCAGTTAGTCACAGTCAGAGAAACAGGACTACACTGGAAAACAGGCCAAGCTCCAACATCTAGAAACAAAGGTGTTGATGGCAGCAGCACAGCTGATGTTTCTCTCCAGGATGGAGTCACAGCTAAACAGGAACAGACCAGATGAAGCTACTATGAGAAAAAGCAGAGAGAGCAGAACGTTAGAGATTGAACTAACAGATTCTGCAGAGTGGGAGAATAGAGATAGAATGAAGCAGAATGATGAAAAAGGGGTCCCTATGTCCTCCAGCAGTCTAAGCCTATAGCAGCAGAACTATAGAGATAGATCAGGATAACCTGAGCCACTCTAACTAGAAGCTTTATCAAAAAGGAAAGTTTTAAGCCTAGCCTTAAAAGTAGACAGGGTGTCTGCCTCACGGACCACCTTTTATTATTATTATTTTTTTATATTTTGGCTCTAAGAATCATCCAGACAGATGAAGCTGAAGCTCGGTGTGTAAAGGTTTAGAGTAGTGCCTGGGTGAAAGAAGCTCAGCCAAACCAGCTGGTCCACGGCTGGAGCTCAATGATCAGTCTTCTTTCAGTTTGTGTGTCTGGATCATGAGGAGGAAGATGAAACTGAGGAGGAAGATGAAACTGAGGAGGAAGATGAAACTGATTCACTGTTTCTTAAGATTTGGTTCATGTAAAATATGACAGATATCCTAAACTTCCAGGAAGGAATGTTTTCTTTACATATTTCTTAAAACTGTAACTATATCCTGACAGTAAAACATTCGATGCATCATCTGTGAAAAAATGAAAGCTTTAATTTATTCACTAAAACAATAGTTAACAAAAAAAAACAATCTTAACTAAAAATCCTTCTAAAATGAGGATGGTGCTGCTATGTGGCTCATAGGGAGCCTCCTGCAACAGCCCTCAGATGTTTGCTAGCTGCCATATTTACTTCCAATTATAATTTCTAATTAATTTAATTAGATTTAATTTGATATAAAATATGTTTTCATTAAAGTTTTTTTTTTTCTGGCTGAATGGGAACTCCACAGTCTGTTTTAGAACATATAATACATGTTTTTCCAAAAGGACATGATAAAATAAGATCCCATCAAGTCCAGATAATAACCACTGAACTGTGAAGAAATGTCTCCGTCGGTGCGGGTTCGATTCCTGCAAGGAGCAGACTTAGTGTCCTTAGTCTGAATGTTCCCCACCTTCAAAAAGTCTCTGATAGGAGAGCAGGAGATGCAGCCATGATGAAAACCAGAGGATCCTTCCATGATTTAGAACAGAAATCTGACGTCATCCTGTCCTGTTGGGCGAGGGAAAAGTTGATCTAATGCTTTACAAATGAGGCCTTTAAAGAAAAAGCTCTTCTGCTCAAGCTGGACAGGTCAAACAGCAGGTCATCAGGCAGGATTTACCGAGCTAGGCGGGTTACGTAACGCCATCCTCACACAGACAGAGAGCAGCTTCTCTGCTGACGAGGTGGAACACTGAAAAGGTACAAGAACGGCTCAACCTGCAAAGGAACGAAGTGCACTTAGTGGGAGGGGGGGAAGAAGAGCCAATAGGAAGGCAGAAAGAGACGGCAAGTGTAGCGAGGAAGAGGACACAGTATGCAGCATGAAGGATGGTGAAAGAAAGTAAGGATAGCGGCAGAGTGTCTCCCTCTGTCTCAGCAGATGAAACACTCCATATGTACTTCCTTTCAAAGCCTTCTGTGACCTTCAACAAACGCTGCAGGATTAGCAGCATCAGCGCATAAAAACAAAGACTTACTGACATCAACAGATCACCATGTGAGAAAAGCCTGGATGCAGATAAACAACAGCTCAGCTCAACTGCCTGGGATGACTGCAGTGGTAGTGACTCACTCGTGAACAGACTGGTGACTTGTTTCAGGAGGAACGGGCCTCTGCTCTGAACCTGGGGGGTTCTCATTAGTGGACTTCTCTACATGTAATGGATTGTCTATCATGAACACCATGTTTAAGCATTAAGGTGTCTAATAGGGAACTTGGCACCTGGCCATCATAGGCTGAAGGTCAATGATCAACTTTGTGGTCGTATCTTCTGACCTTTGGCCACATGTCTTGGACACCCAGGTGAAGGGAGGGGTAGAACTGTCCAAAATCAGCACCTGGTGGAGAGCTGGATGAAGAGCCAGACAGAGTGGACAGGCTTCCCCGAGTAGTAAGGGTCTGCAGGGAATGTCTGGTGGAGCCCTCACCTCCCATCTACTGGAGAGCTCCTCCCAGATTCTGGGGGCTGAGGACATAGAGTCCTAGTGCCCCATTATTGAAGATCCAGCCACCCATAGCTGTGGCCTTAAGGTCTGTGGTGCCTGTCAGGGCGGCAACCCTTGAACCTGGTGGTGGACGCTGCCAGTAAGGATGCTGTCAGGCTGAAGAAAGAGTCCTATTGAGCCTGACTGGCTTGTGGGACACCTGAGGAAGCAAGCAGGTACAATGAGGCAAAGTGTGCTAGGGTCTGGATGGTGACAGGCAGAAACTCTGACCTGGGAGGAGTTTGGAAAGACCTTGGGGAAAGACTACCACTCTGCCACAAAGTGGTTCTACCAAACCTTCTGGCGCCTCTGGAGTGGGAAGCAGAGCTTCTCTAACAGTGGTCACAGTGGGAGTGGGGAGCTGCTGACCTTGACTGAGGACATTGTTGGATAGAGCAAAGCGGCAATGAAGAAGAAGTCAGAGGCCATGGTTCTCGACAGGAAAAAGGTGGCTTGTCCCTCTCAGTTTGGAGGAGAGTAACTGCCTCAAGGGGAGGGGTTAAAGCATCTGTTCATGAGTGAGAGGAGTACAGAGAAGGAGGTTGATTGACAGGTGGGTGCAGCTGCTCCCATAATGCGGATGACGCACCTGTCTGTTGAGGTGAAGAGGGAACTGAGCCAAAAAGCAAAGTTCTTGATTCACCACTCAGCCTATGTTTCTAATCTCACCTATAGTCATGAAGTCAGAAATAATGACCAAAAGAACAAGATTCTGAATACGAAGGGTTAAAATTAGATTTCCCTGCAGGGTGGTCGGTCACTCCCTCAGAGGCGGGGTGTTGGGGAGGGTGTTGGGCTAGTGGTTAGAGCAGTGTGCTTGTAGAAGGTTGCAAGTATGCGGTTCGATCCCCACAGACTCTGGGTTTCTGAGCAAGACCCTTAACCCGAAACTGCTTCCTGGGCGCCGCAAATGGCAGCCCACTGCTCCCCAAGGGGAGGGGTTAAATGCAGAGAGTGAATTTTGTTGCTTTGTACTTGACAATGTAATGTAATGTCGTTGAATTCTATTCTCTTCTATTCTACACAGGGTGAGGAGCTCAGACATCAGGAAAGGATAGAAACAGAGCCTCTGCTCCTCCTTGTCAAGGAGTCAGCTGAAGTGGATCGGACATCTGTTATGGGTTCCCCCTGGACACCTCCCTCGGGTTGGGTTCCAGGGAATTTCCACCTAGAGGAAGTCTAGAGGATGGCCCAGGACA